GAGTTCTTCGTTTGGTTGGATCTACTTTAGTTAGAGATAAATTACTTGTAATTTTGAATAACTTGATCCCAAATAAACAAGAGCAGGATAGCTGAATTAAAAAAAAAAATTAAATAACTATTTATATTTATTTATATATAATATAAGTTAAGATTAGATAACTTATATCTTATATCTCTAATATAGAAGTATTATATATAATAATTTACAAAATAACTAAATGTACCCAATAACTTTTATAAAAAAAAATTTTAATCTATTATTTTTTTATAAATATATATATATTTTATTTTTTTGCTTTAGATCTAGATGATTAAAACTAATACAGAAGATAACTAAATTAATTATCTAACTTTAGTATTTTTTTTTATATACTTTTTTTATTTTTCTAATATATACTATATATATTTTTAATATATTTATACTATAGTTTTTCATTAATATTTGTAAATAGGTGCTAAAATTAATATTCTGAACCAAAAAAGCAACTAGTACTTATATAACTAACTTCTAATACTTTTTTTATTTTTGATATAACACTTTCTCTTTTATAAGCTTGTAGAATACTTTACTTTATTAGATATTGAAAATAGATGTTGAAATTGATCTAATTCTAGAATATAACTAAAATTAGTAAAATTAATAATTACTAATTCTAGTTTATTATTTTTCTTATTTTTCTATTTTTTTAATATTTCTTTCTTTTTTGTAGTTTGTGTAATACTTTTTTTGGTGTTAAAAATAGGTATTGGGATTAAAGATCTAGATTTGAAAAGCAACTAGAAGTGATATAAAAACTAAGTACTAATTTTATTTTTTTTCTTATTACTTTTTATTATTTAACACTATTTTTTCATTATATAAATTTGTATAAACTTTACTAAAAATTTATTTATTATCAAAAATCATCAAAGACAAAATTTGCTATTGAAATATTTATATTTAACAACTACTATTTTGATAAAATTGAAGTTGAAAAGAATAAATATAAGATGTTTATATATTATCAAAAAAATCTATAGAAATAAGTAATATTAAAAGAATCTTTAGTGTTGCATATTGTTATCAAATAGAGTTTTGAGTTAAAAAATAAAATAAAATATTTAATTATTATTAAAAATTTTGTAATTAGATTATTCTGGTATATTTTGGATTGACTATTATTATTAAAATAGAATTGGAGTTAAAAAAAATAAGTATAAAAGTATTTAGTTGTTATCAAATTAGCTAGTATAGTGTTAAAAATAGGTGCTAGAATCTTTAAAATAAGTAAACCTAAATATCTAAATCAATGATAAGAACAATATAACTAAAAATTTGTATTTTTTATTATTTTTTTTTTATTTTCTTGTTTATTTTAATAACTTCTTTTTTTATAGATTCTTTTATAGGCAAAAGTTTTTGTAAGATTAATTTATGATAATAGATATTTCATATTCTGTTTTTTTCTTATTTAAATATTTATTTTAAGCTAACAAATTTTTTTTTGTTTATAAACCTGAGTAGAGATGTAAGTACAATACTGTAATTAATCATAATTATAATAAATTATAGCATTTTTGCTGTAATTTATTATAATTACAATTATTTATAATATTATACTCACATCTCTAATTGCAAAAGAAACAATTAGATAAATATGACAGTAATTAGGGTATAATAGTATTGTAATTAATAGTTTAATTCATGAGGCTAAGTATAATAATTATATTGCAATTGATAGTTGAGTTTATTATGCAATGTTTATATAAAACATCAATTAGTAATTCATATATAATGCAATAAATAAATCTAAATAAACATATAATTTACAAACTTTTTAAATATTAATAAATTTATATTATGAATTCAGATATGTCTAAAAATGTTCAAAATATATCATTTGGATACTGTTCAATTAACAATATATTTACATAAACATAATTTGAATATAGATATTGGACAATATCTAAAAATGTCTAATCCACCATAAATGACTCAGATATTGAAAAGAGACAACACTGTATGTAGATGCTATTACTATTGTTTGGCAGAGCTTCTTATAATATCAGCACAATCTAGCTCCAATAGTTAATTTATATATTCTTTTATATTAGAATTAGAGCAATAAAATAAATAATACTATATAACTGATTATAATTATAACTTGGGCACATAAAATTATGTAATTAATCCAAGATTAGGTAGTAATCAATCAGATAATTAATTTAAAAATTCAAATTTAAATCAAAACAGTTTATAATATAAATGACATGTTTCACAGACATCAATATCCTCAAGGTAGATAATGTATATAATATACTTAATAAAGAGTAATAATAAAAATGTATAATATGATCATTAAGAATCTTAATAGTTAAATAGGGAAATAACAATAAATACAACAATATAACAATAAACTTGTAACAACAATTGAGAAATCAATTCTTAATACTTCTATATTAAAGACATTAAAGTCTAAAGCTTTATTCAAAAAACAAAAAACAGCTTTTTTATACTTCAATAAGTAAGGCTTGTACAAGTTATTCTTAGTTTTTTTGACTAAAACTATATATTTGCTAAGCATCCTACTATTTATATACTTTCTTTACTTATTTTTTATTCTATTAACTAAGCTTTTATATGTTTTAATCACTCTGCCTTACTTTCTTCTAACTTTTTCCTAAGCTTTGGCTCACATCTAGTTATTATGCCTTAATAAACAAGTAAGAATCTTCAGATATAAAATAAATAAAATGATGAATTATTAAATATTATGTCTCTTAATAATCCAAGCCTTAGTCATCTACTTAGCCCCATTACACTCATGTGACTTAAGGCTTATACACATCTTCATTACAACCCATACATTACTCAGTCACAATTTTTTTAGAAAATCGTGACAGTGCTAATCAATTTATAAATTAAACTCACGTGAAACTACAAGGGTTTAAACGATCCCTACTTTCACGTTCTAACTAAAATTTATTTCTGATTGTAACTCAGATAGTAGGCTTTTCTTTTATTAAAGCTTATGATATTCTATACTATTCAGGTTTAATAAAATTTAGACGTAATTTTCTTACAAGTGACGAAAGTCTTTTAACGCATCCATAGAAATTGGTTGAAAACTCGACTTATTGAAGATTTGCATTGATAACCTTCTAAATTTTTTTAACTACTTTCTAGCAAATAGGCTTCGTAAGTATTATACTTTACTAACTTAACTAGAGTTATATCAATATTGGTTATTTGGCTATGATCGACTAATAATTATCACTGCATCATTAATAGAGGTTGTTTAATGCCTTGTAGTTTCAAGCAAGTTTTAATTTGCAAATCGATTAGCACCTATGCACATACGTACGTGCCTGGATTTAGTCTATTATTGTAAATAATAAGCATTATATTGATCAATAACTTATCAATTCGGCGGAATAACATTCGGTTAATTTTTCATGAGGTGTCACAAGAATTATGTATGTATGTATGTATGGTTGAATACTTTCAAAGCAGTAATTGAAAAAATTTTAGAAGGCTTATCAGTTCTAAAAATTAGATGTTAAATTTTAACAAATCTTTAAATCAAATTCTTAAAGATACTGTATGGATGTATTAAGAACCTTTATTAACCTTTTTCAATAAATTATAATTAGAATCTTGATTTTTTACTTGTATTCACAGGTCGACTATGGGTGCTAGGCTAGAATTACTTTGTCTGTGAAAAGAGCATTGGTGAAGTGAACTATAACTGAAATGAACATGTTATGAAATAAGTGTTGGTAAAATTAGTTTGGTAAACAAAGCTGTTGATAAGTTAATCAAAACTGGATAATTCAACCTACCAAAATATGTGTAGTCATGCTTCTGAATATAATCATGCAAAATTGTATAATTTAACAAAACACTTCAATTAGATCATAACGAATATACAGCAATTCTAGAAAGAGAATATAATAACTATAGACTTACTAATTTACTATCGAAATATATAAAATCACGGTTTAGGAATTCGCAGTTGAAAAGAAATGTAGTCAACCATTTTGCTGACAGTCACTTCACCAACAATCTCTAGCTAATACTAACCATAAAACCTAACCTGAACTAAATTGAGCCAAAATTTGTCGGCGAAGTTGATTTATGTCCTAAAAAATATTAAAATATCTCTATTCACAAGTTAGGCTAATGTACAATAAAGAAAAATACGATATACAATACTTATAATTCAGGCATGAATGTTCTTTCACTATTGATAATATAACTTCGTAATTTTATTTCTAATCATAAAATTATACATTTTTTTAATTATAGTTATCAAAGTTTACTCAAATCAAAAACAAATATGAAAACAACTAGACTATTAACTAGAAGAAATTGAGAATAAATGTATATATAAAGGCAAATACAAACTGTGAGTGTTGTGTTTTCACTAAGCACTTCGGCCAATTTTTTTGCCTTCTCTAGGCCCAAATTTAGTATTGTTATCTGAAGCATAACTAGAAATGGCGAAACTCTATAAGTTAATTTACAGAATAAAAGTTTGGGAGGGGTGTTCGAAGCCCATGCTAATGCTTTTATATCTAAGTATCCATGCTAACGCTTTTATACCCAAGTATCCACGCTAACGCTTTTTATATCTAAGTAGTTTTGATAACACAAGATCAGGCCCAAGTTCTACATATACAACATATACATATATCGATATGTAATTTCTTAATATTTTATATAACCACCCTTAGCCTCTATTACGGCTGCAATTCTTGCTGGCATCGATTTGTACAAATTTGTAATTACATCGATGCCTATGCCTTCCTATATTTGGACTATTCTGTTCCATAACTTGTCCTTTTCAGTTCTATCAAAATATTCTCCTTTTAATTTCCTTTTTATTTCGCTCCATAAATGTTCAATTGGATTTAAATCAGGAGAGTAGGAGGACCATTCTAGAACAGTTATATTATTATCCTTAAGCTATGCTTTTGTTGCAATTGACGTGTATATTCTAGCATTATTATGCTGAAAAATCATTTCATCCTTGTCGTATTCACATGATTCTAGCACATCTAATAGACAATCTTCGAGAATATTAATATATCCTGCTGAATTTAAAGTTCTTTCGACTAATTCAATATGTCCACCTTCTGAGGTCATACAACCCCATATCATAATACTGCCACCACCAAACTTTTTTGTTGGAATTATATGTTCATCAGCCAATGTGTCATCTTTTTTTCACCAGTAATACTGACGTCCTTTAAAAGCACCAAAAAGTAAAAACCTGCTTTCATCAGTAAAATAACCTTCTTCTAATCATCAACGGTCCAGTCTTTATATTTTGTTGCAAATTTTAAATATTCTATTTTATGTTAATCAGTAAGAGCAGGACGTCTTTTTTTAACTCTAGAAATATATCCATTTCTTCGAAGAACGTTTTGTATTGTTTTGACTGACATCTCTTTATTTGTTTCACAACAAAACTTTGCATGCACATCAACTGCTGTTTCACATTGCCTAGGGATAATCATTTCACATATTAATTTTTCTTCATCAGAAGAAAAAATTTTAGGACGACCCGACCTTGGCAAATCATCAATTTTGCCTGTTTCTTTAAACTTTTTCATGATTTTAGATACTGTTGAGGGAGAAATTCCCATTGTCCATGCAACTTGACGTTGAGAACATTCATTTTCAACAAGAGTAAGAATTATTGCTCTTTGAAATAGTGTTAATTCCTGATTTTTATTATTTTGGTATAATTGAAATCTTATTACGCTTTTATTCTTAGGTGCTTTTGGCATTTTTTTTTTAAGACGAAGAAAAAAAATAGGAATTTTAAGCAAAATGATTTAATAATAGCAGCAGAAAAAAAATAAAATGTATGATTGTTTTTAAAATTTTCGCTATAATAAATACATTAGATTTCTTATTATTAAATTTATAAGATTAAAAATTGTATGTATATGCCTCCACATTTATTGATATAAAACTATATTAGGTTTAAAAGGCCTTAAATTTCGTTATATGTATATATACATATACTTAACAATGCAACAGAGTTGAAATAACCTATGTATGTATAAATAAAATAATGGCACTGATATCTATCGCTATAGTTTTTTTTTTTTATTATTAATTAATAGTAATCACTACTTTTAAGGGGTTGTAAATTTACAATAATAAATTTTAATGCATCGTAAAAGTGCGTATACATGACCCGGGTTTGGTACCGTAAAATGCTGTATAAGATACTCTGTGATCTGTAGCAGATTTAATAATAATACAATTGGTGTATATTGGGCCTTTAATAGTCACTTTTAATTTTTTTTGATTGGTCTGACAAATGATTAAAGTGATTGTTGTGATTTATTTAAGGTTCATTCTATACTATTATGCACGAAGAATTTAATGAATATGCATCAAACCTATTAGATTATCTCAAAACCCGTTAGATTCTTGTCTACTTATTAGCCTGAACCTACTAAAACATACCATTTGTCATTGTTGTATAGTATTAAAAATAAACCTTCCATCTCAAACATGATATAGTTAATTGTCTAATGAGCTATCTGTTAGATAATTGTATTATCAAATAATCTATTATCAAAAAGTTTCTGCATAGAGGTACATATTGGTCCATATGATTTGTTTTTTTCTAAATCCTCATGACAAGATATCACCTACATACATAATATACCCGGGGTACAAATCAAATTTTTATCACATGGAATTTAAAGTGTTTAGCACATTCCTGTTATATAGACATTGGTTTGATAATTAGAAGGTTTTTATAATATATATTATGTTCTAATATTATAAATTATCCAAGTCTTTTAATCATTGTTTTTTATACTATACCCAGGTCAGTTTCATTTTACCAAAATTTTTATCTATACTTTAATACCTGCCTGATTCACGGTGAGTTTACTATTTTAGTAGGTATTGTGCACTTTTACAATAACTTACAATGTAACAAATATACATATACACTAATCTGAATATATTTTAATAGCACCACGTAAAATTCTAACTTATACCTGGTTATAAATTAAACTTGCAAAACTACTAATATCTAATAAAATTGAACCTCCGCCTAAAGATCAGTTTAAAATTCTCACCTTTTTACACAGTATCTTCTAGTTGAGGTATTTTTGATTTATACACTGAGTAATGAAATGCAGAGTTTTATAGTAATTTGAATTTCAGATAATGATAATGTGAATCAAGAACAATACTGTGTGAATGGTTATTTCAATATGTCATTTCATCTAGCAACATTTATGTATATAATAATACAATAAAGATTAATGAATATAGCAATTAGACTATATGTAGTTTACATCTTAAAAATTGTAAGAGTTTAAGAAAAATAAGCTAGGTAATAGGAATCATAAATTACTGATTAGAACACTCGATTTATGCATTAAATACCGAGATTTAAAAGGTGAACTACTGTATATTCTCATATACTAATTTCTGTATATAGTAACGAGATTAATAATAATATTTAATGATTTACGATATGTAGCTAAACAAATAAGTCTGTTAGAAAAAACTTAACTTATAAAACCTTTATTAACCATTATACCTATAGTCAATCTGTTAATAAGCCTATTTTATATATGATGATAATTCTAAATTATAACATAGGGGGTTTCAAAATTAATAAATAAGCGATGCATTTCAAAAATAAGTAGGATTTTTTCAATAGTATTTTTACTATGTTGAATTATAAATCAGAAAAATCAAATACGATTCTTTGATTTTAATTTGAAATCTCCTAATGGATCTTTTTTACAATACTACAACCAATAGATAGTGTTTGTCATTGTTTAGCAATATATTACTGTATTATATACAATATGCTAAATGTTATATAAATTCTAATGCATTATTGTTAAAATGCATAATATTAGTCAATTATAAACACTATTGATAAATTTAAAGAGATTCAAATAGATAAATATGCAATTTTCCAATTTTTAAATATGAAGTTAACAATTTGCTTTAATAAATCTTAATAAAGGTTCAAATAAGTATCTATTTTTTTACTAATTTAAACAACAAACTGCCAACCCAAACGATTAATAAATTCTAAAATGGCTAATAATTTCCGGTCGAGGGGGATTTCTTGTTGCGTTTCACACTAGCGGGTACATATAGAAAGATATAGTTAATAATCACAAATAATCCTGAATATGAACTAAAAATTTGTTAGCACTTACCCTCGTATCAAATATGTATTTTATTATGTACGTACCAATATTTAAGAAAACTTCTATGCACTGCTGTATCTTTTCAATTAAATGATCCTCAAGCTGTGTTATTCACAATCTTGAAGCTATAACCCTAGTTAAAAACACTAGTTCCTTGCACTACTACGCAGCTTCCTATCAAATGCTCCTTGTGTTACTGCATTCTTGAAGCCATATTTTTATTTTACCTTTCAGGCAGGTAGGTTGGGATGAGAGCTAGCCTAACATCACAAAGCGATTATTATATAAATACATGTGCACATGACAACTTCAAATCTTAATTCTTATATGTGTACAAGCAAATGCTCTAACGTGATCTTGCTTTGTCACTTTGTTAACAAACTAGTCATTATTAATTATCACATTATACTATATATGCTACATATTTAAACCGGTTTGTAAGTTTAACAGTATTTTTTGAATTAGCATTAGTGTCTGACTTGATCAAGTTTTATCTGAACAACCCAAAACTGATCTAGTTATAATAAATTTAGTATGAGTCTTAGTTATAGGTCATTCAGATCAAACCTGTTAGAAGCACTAATTTTTAATAAACAATCAAATATATTTGATTAATCTTTATCCTTATCAGTTATCATCTATATTTATGCAAATACAGTCCTAAAGAAGTAAGTAAATGCTACAACTTATAAATGCGTTTATAATTGAGAAATTATATATAATAGTAAATTTCTGTGAATTTAATTATCTTAAAATCTCAATTAATATAATAAACTTTCCAATCAATTAGTATAAATAAATTTATAACAAAATGTAATACATTGTGTAGACTTGCTACAGTATCAACTTAAATAGCTCATTTTAAATGCTGTATGCTAATTAATAATCTTTATGCAAGAATTAAATATGAATAGAAAATTGATACTTAGACTAATAAATTATAACTAAATTTATTTATGAATTTATTTCTGTTAGATCATAAAAAAAATCAATTGATTTTTAAACGATTTCTAAGTGATTTCTAATTTCTTAACTGATATAACAATTTCATATTTAGATATCAGAGTTGTTTTAAGAAATCAGAAATCAAATCAAGCGATGTTTTTGAAATCTGCAAAATTTACAAAATTTTGCAAATGACAAGTTTTTTAAAATGCTGCAAATGCTCTAATACTCACATTGATTGAAGATCGATGCATACATATGCAATCAATATGCTAAGAGGCTGAAACTTATTACTTAAATATAACCCCTTAGTGTTAGTCGCAAAACAATCAATTGTTTGACAATTGCAAGCTCTAAAATAATCAACCATATAAATTTTATACTTTGGTTACTTTAGAACTTGTCTGGAAGGGGTAATAAGTGTCAATATTATTAATTACTGATTATAATACGTATTTCTGCACATTACTATTATTACTTTAACAATTGCAACTATATACAAGGAAGTTGACATTTATTAGAATCATCCAGAGTGACTAAAAAGTGCAGTAATGTGATTATAGTGCAGCCACATGATCATATTACTGCACTTTTTATGGTCATTCTGGATGATTCCACTTATTATATAGACATAAGTCAGTCATTTGATACAATTACAAATTCTAAAACAATCCATCATTTGATAATTGTGAGCTCTAAAATAACCAATCATATAAAGTTTATACTAATTTATGATTACTTTAGAACTTGTAATTGTCAAATGGCTG